GTTGTGGGGAAATAGGGGAGGGACGGTGGGGGGTGGGGAGCTGGGGAGAGATAGCAAGGGGAGAGATGCCAGAGGTAGGTGATGGGGAGGAAGGCAGCAAATCACACTGCCACATGTGTACCTATGCAACAATCTTGCATGTTCTTCACATGTACCCCAAAACCTAAAATGCAATAAAATAAATAAATGGGGGAAAAAAAAATATTCGATTCCGTCACACTCAGAATGGCCTATATCACATATGGAATGATCCTCCTCATACTCAGAATGGTCTCTCCAACCCCTCCCTCCTGTGACAACTGGTTCCTCCCGACCCGGAATAATCCACTGAATATAAGAATTGATTCCCCCATGCTCCCAGGGACTGAATCCTGTATCAGAAATGGTTATCCCACTAAGAATGGTCTGGCTCCCTCAAACAGATGAGGAAATATTTCCCTGCACTCCAAAGGGACCGTCCTCCCACCACCGCACACCGACCCTCTAGCTAATGAACTTTTCCTTGCTCTACCCACACTCACAGTTAGCTCTCTCTGCTGTAAGGAAGGACCCGGCACCCTCAGAATGTTCTTTCTCCACCATATAACGATGAGCCTTCCCACCCGAACGTACAATGATCTCTACCTCCATTAGGAAGGGAGCCCCCAGAACGATCTTCTCTGCCCATAATGAAGGACATCCCCATCCTCAAAATGGACCCTCTCTAGTCATATAAGGAAGGACTCGCCCCGCCCTCAGAATAGTCTCTGTCCCTTTATAAGGAAGGAACCACCACCCTCAGAATAGTCTCTCCCTTCAACGAAGAACTCCCACACCCGCAGAATGGTCTCTTCCACACGGAAGGACCCCACACATTCAGGATGGTTTCGGTGGCCTTAGCCTCCCCAAAAAGAAATACCCTCCACACTGACAATGATCTCTACTCTCCATATGCGGAGGAATCCCACAATCAACCTCACAATGTTCTCTTCCCCGCCCCCAACGCACTCACAAGGTGCACGCGCGCGCGCGCACACACACACACACACACACACACACACACACGTCGGACCACACGGGATGCTCCCTCTCACTTTAGTAAGGAACATTCCCGACTCCTAACAATCGCGACCTCCGCCTCCACGCGACTGCTCGGCCGCAGGCTGTCTCACCGGTCCTCGCGGTCCCCGGCTCCAATGCACCCGCGGAAACCGCCCCTGGCCCGGCCGCTGCGGTGGAACCACCAGCCCCAACCGCTGCCATGTTGGCATCTGCCCGGCCCGTCCCCTCGGCAACAGTAGGCTACTTCCGTGTTCGTCACTTCCGCTTCCGGGCCACCTGAGTGAAGGTGGGGTAAGAGCCGGGGTAGTCAGGGTGGTGGCTTTCCTCGTCCGCTCCTAAAAGCTCAATGTAAGAGTAGCCCCAGGATTTCCAAATTCTGTCGGATCGGGACGCAGGGTACACGGCCGGCTCGGCCTACCCACCGTCCCTACTTAGCTTCACCGGCCCATTCCAGTCACTAGACCCGCCTTGTCTTGGCGTTCACGTCCGCTTCACTGGTGGCACTTTCCAGATCACCCCGCAATCCCGTCTCCTAGTCTCAGTCACCCCTTTCATGTCGGCCTTTTATTGGCAGATTCTCTAGAAGGCACCGCCCTTTCCGCATCAGAAACTCCCAGGTGCTTCCTGGTTGGACTGAAGTTCCGCTTTCCCGTTCCCCAGCGAGGTCCCGCCCTGGAGAGCACACGGGAATCTAGAGACGAAGACACTTTGACCTGGCCGGGGCGGGTGAGGGCATACTGGATGAAGCATCAGGTGAGAGTCAAGCATGTGAACTAGCAGATAAAAGCAGAGCAGGTGAGGTTAAACAAGTGAAAATGCAAAGGAAAGTTGACGCAGATAAGGGAAGCCAAGTGAGTCACCACTGAGAATGGCAAAGTAGACAGGTGAAAGGCTCACAGGTTAGCTAGCATTTGGAAGCAGGGCAGGAGACCGGGCCGGGGGCGATGGCTTATGTCTATAATCCCAGCACTTTGGGAGGCCGTCTGGCAGATCACCTGAGCTCAGGAGTTCCAGCCTAGGGCGAAACCACTTCTCTAAAAATAATTAACCAGGCGTAGTGGTGCGCACCTGTACCCAGCTACTTGGGAGGCTGAGGCAGGAGAATCGCTTGAATTCCATCTCAAATTTTAAAAAATGAAAGCAGAGCAAGAGGGGACAGCTGAGGTTAGAACAAGTGAAATCAAGATGGAATAGGGCAGGACAGGTAGTCAAGTGTTAAGGAGAAATGGGAAGGATGAGTATGTAAGGGTAAAGATGGGGGAGAGGGTAAAGATAAGAGTAAAACCGGTGACTGCCCTCTGCACATCAGTAGACAAGAGCTACAAGATTACAGTCAACACCCAACTTCAGCCCTGCCTTCACCAGTACCCTGATAGGGCTTTTCTTCTCCAACAGGGAAAGGGCTTCTTCCCTCCCCAGGGGTGTCAGGGAAGGTAGTCACCCAGGCTGGAGTGCTGTGGTGCGATACTGGCTCACTGCAGCCTCTGCCTCCTGAGTAGCTGGGACTACAGGGGTGTACCACCACGCTCGGCTAATTTTTGTATTTTTAGTAGAGACAGGATTTCACCATGTAGGCCAGGAGTCCTGATATTCTGACCTCGTGATCCACCATACCCAGCTGGGGAGGTAGTTTTTTCTGCTACTGAGATGGCCATCTTGATTGGGGATGTGCCCTAAACACCTTCAATATGCACAGTATCTCCAACAGAGAGCCCTTCTGCATGTACTGGACACAGCATAAGATCATGGACAGAGGAAATTAAGTTTTTTTGTGTGGTGCAGCTTCCAGAACCCTTAAAGCTCCTTAGAATGGCAAGTCAAGACTGGCTTCATGAGGACAAAGCAGACAGTCTGTCTCAGCGCACAGTAGATGCTCCATAAAAGCCTCACCCCTACAAATGGCCAGCCGCTTCTGATTCTATTACTTTTATTAAATAGTGGGTTTCCACACATGGCTTTTTAAATAATCCAGGCAGGGGGAGAAGAGAGGAGGGCACACTTGGAACTCCCCTCCCCACAATACGTGATTATTTACATTTTAGCAATTGGACAATCCCGGCTCAGGAGAATGTTGCAAGAAATCTGCTAAAGTTGGAGGGGGCGCCCCAGGAGAACAAACAGCAAGCCTTATTTCCCCTAGCCCATCCCCCAAAAAACCATCCATCCCATCCTAGTGTCTGGTGGGGTCCGGTGGTGTCCATCTCCCATTCCTTCCCAAATTCGGAAGTAAGGTTCTTCTCACCAGAATAAGAGCACATTGGATAACAGAGTAGGATCCCCTCACCAAAAAAAAAAAAAAAAAAAAAGCCTTGGAGTAACAAGGGATTACCTCCCCCAGAATAAGGAATCCTGGGCTGAGGCAGGTAAGCAGCTTGACCCAAAATGGGACCCTAGGCCAGGGGAAAGGGGTCCCTTTGCTAAAATAAAAGTTACTAGGGTATTGGAAGGAAAGCACCCTTGCCCAAGTAAGACCATATGAAGGAAGTCTGTGTGATGGTAGGAGGAGGTGCCAATGTAGGGGTGACACGTCATCAGAATGAGTCCCGGGGCTCAGAATGGAAACAACTTCACCCGAAATAAACGTCGTTAGCAAAATTAGAAACAAGAAGTTCCCCCTCCAGAATCAGGGACCACAGGTTCTGGGAAGAAAGCTTCTTTGTAGGATTGGGAAGGGAACTGGGCAGACTTGGCTTATGTCTTCTAACCCCTGATCCTCAATCCCTTACCTCAGTAATACTGGACTTTAATGACCGGTAATGACCTGTAAAACCAAGTCAACAAATGTCCATCTATCCCTGTGACATGGCCATGGGATGGCTCTTCCCACCATTGGGGGCCAGGCCAGGCTTAGGGTAGCAAGGACCAGGCCAAAGGGGTGGGCCCTCCTTTTGGGGGGTTGAGGGGTGTATCCTCGGCTGGTGTTTGCATCCAGGGGTCCAGCAGGATCTCCTCCAGTGAGGGTCGGGAAGAAGGTTTGGGGGCCAGGCACCGGCGGATTAGGGCACAGCAGTCTGGGGACACATGGGCAGGGAAGTGAAGCTCAGCTTCCAGAATTTCCTGGTCCCTCTCGAAGGGAATGTCCCCACACACCATGTCATAGAGGAGGATACCAAGTGACCAGACAGTGGCTGGGAGTGCATGGTACTGGTGTCGAGAGATCCACTCTGGGGGGCTGTACAYCCTTGTCCCATCAAAGTCAGTGTAGGGTTCATCATGAAGCAGGGCACCAGAACCAAAATCAATGAGTTTGGCACAGCCACGGCGTAGGTCTATCAGGATGTTCTCATCCTTGATGTCACGATGGACAACTCCACGGGCATGGCAGTGCTGGATGGCTGCCACTACTTGGCCAAAGAAGCAGCGGCTTGAGCCTTCACCCAGCGGGCCCTTCTCTGTGATATAGTCAAAGAGATCCTGGGCGGGCAGAGGCCGCTCGAGGACCAGCATGAAGCCCTCTTGTGTCTCAAACCAGTCAAGCAGGCGGATCACGCCAGGGTGCCCACCACCTGCACCCACTTTCCATAGCAGTGCCACTTCGAGTGGGCATGTGACTGAGTCTGACTGGGGGCACAGGTGGGGTGGGAAGCGGGGAGAGAAAAAAGACAGATGTCAGGCCAACAGCTCTGAGGCTGACTTTTTCCTAAGGTCAAATCATGGCATCTTGTTCTCCTGACAGTGTCCTTGAGCAATTCATTTCCCTTCATGGGCTTCAGTCTGCCTAAAGACACAAACTCACACAGGGATTGGGAGGGTGAATCCAGCAAAGGGCCTGCACACATCTTGCATGTAGTAGATCAATACATTTGAATAAATAAAAGTAGCCGGGCACGGTGGCTCACGCCTGTAATCCCAGCACTTTGGGAGGCCAAGGCAGGCGGATCACGAGGTCAAGAGATCGAGACCATCCTGGCCAACATGGTGAAACCCCGTCTCTGCTAAAAATAGAAAAGTTAGCCAGGCGTGGTGGCACGTGCCTGTAGTCCCAGCTACTCAGGAGGCTGAGGCAGAGGTTGCAGTGAGCCGAGATTGCACCACTGCACTCCAGCCTGGTGACAGAGCAAGACTCCGTCTCAAAAAAAAAAAAAAAAAGTAGTTCAGCCAGGCACAGTGGTTCATGCCTATAATCCCAGCACTTTGGGAGGCTGACACAGGTGGATCGCTTGAGCCCATGAGTTCAAGATCAGCCTGGGCAAAAGGGCAAGACCCCATCTCTACACAAACACAAAAATTTGCCAGGCTTGGTGGCATGCATCTGTCCCAGCTACTTGGGAGACTGAGGTAGGAGGATCTCTTGAGCCCAGAAAGCAAAGGTTGCAGTAAGCCAAGATCGCACCACTATACTCCAGTCTGGGTAACAGAGAAAGACTGTCTCAAAACGAACCAAAACAACAACAAACTGGTTATTAACAAAAGGCCTTCAGCAGAAGCAGCACCATTATGTAGTGTTTTATGTTTCATTCCCTGACATATCCCAGATTAAAATAGTACATTACAGAGTAGGTGCTCAATAAATGTTTGTTAAACAGATGAAAGAACTTGATAGCACAGAGTCTGACAAGCAGTTAGCACTCAATATAACACTGTTATTGTGTAATGGTTTGTTTTCTTCACAGACAGGTGTATCTGAAGCACTACAACAGTGCCTGCTAACAAAATAGGGCTGGATATTTTGTTAAACAGGTAAAAACAATTAGTAAAAAAGGACCTAGCACAAAATGAGCTCAATAACTATTATGTAATAATTTGCTGAGTGTCTAGAATTATGTCTATCATATAGTAGGTGGTCAATATACCCTTGTTAAACAGCTGAGTGATTAATTGCAAAGGACTTAGCACAAAAGGACTTAGTGTTGTTTTGTCAGCATCACCAAGCACCTAGAACCAGTCAATAAAAAGCATAAAAGCAGCGGGGTGTGGTGGCTCACACCTGTAATCCCACCGCTTTGGGAGGCCGAGGCAGGCAGATCACCTGGGGTCAGCAGTTCGAGACCAGCCTGGCCAGCATAGTGAAACCCTGTCTCTATTAAAAATACAAACATTAGCCGGGCGTGGTTGTGCGCTCCTATAGTCCCAGCTACTCGGGAGGCTGAGGGAGGAGAATCGCTTGAACCCGGGAGACAGAGGTTGCAGTGAGCCGAGATCGCGCCACCGCACTCCAGCCTGTAAGACAGAGGGAGACTCTGTCTCAAAAAGAAAAAAAAAAGAAGGTATAAATGCTACTGGCCACAAAATCCGCTCCCCAAGCCCTGAGCAGGCACACTTCGAGCAGCAACCTTCTGGGCTGAGGTAGAGCCCTCTCCTGGCCAGGCTGCTGACTTGCACGGCAGCAGACTTTCTCACAGAGATGCAAAAATTCTGATATTGCGCAGGCGCATCGTCTCCTGGGTCCCACGGACTGCGCAGGCGCAGTTTCCCCTAGACTCCGCCAGGGGGCGCCCCCAACTCTACAACTCGCCCAGACCCGCCCTGATGTCCGTTAGCGCTACAATGGCCAGAGAGAAGCAGCCACTATCACCATGGCAACCAGTGACCTCTGCCCCTCGTTCCCCACCAGCATGCTCTGCGGGCAGTCCTCCAGCAGTGTTTGGAGGGAGGATGGAAAAGGATTGTTGAAGGGGAGACTCCAGGGCTCTAGGGGAATTGGGGTGAATCAGAACTGTATGTCACCCCAAGGGAGTAAACATGGGCTGGTAGGAGTGTTCTTACTGTTACAGGGCCCAAGGAGTCATACATGCCCTGGAAAAGCAAGGGGGTCAATTCATCATCAGTGATGGATAGGTCAGGAAGGGCTCCAAAAGTACTCACCAAGGGGGACCAGGCCAGCACACGATTCCGGGGAATCACTTTGATGGCCACCTGGAGAAGAGGGCCGTGATAAGGAGGCCAGCAGGTGATCCCCAGACCCCTCCCAGTCTAGACCTTCTGCCCACCTCCAGTGCTCCTCCATCCAGCAGCACTCTAATCTTTCTGGTCCCCAACCACAACACCCCACACAACCCATACCAGGGCGTCTCCCCTGCCCTCCAAGTCCCCGGAACCAAGTTCATCTCTCCCACCCTCCTCAGCCCTGGGCTTTCCGTTCTCAGGCATCGGTACTCATCACTCAAAGTCCTGAGTTCCAGATTTCCTGATACCCCAGGCCCACAGTCTTCCTACGATACCCCAACTCTGTACCAGAGTCCTGGTCCGCATGACTTCACACTGGACACCTACCTCCAAAAATCCCATAAATCTCACATCTAGGTCCCCGCTTTCCCACATATACACAGCCTGGACCCTGGGGGTCGAGGACTTCCAGAAATCCTTGCCTTGAAGCCCCCTACCCTCCACACACAACCCCCTAGACCGACACACACACACACACACACACACACACACACACACCCAGTCCTCTACACTGCAGGCTCACTCCTCGGACACACACACACACACACAATCTCTCTTTCTCTCTCTCTCTCGGTCCTCTACACACTCTGCAGGCTTACTCCGTCAACCAGCATTCCATGCCCAGGACCCCCGACCCCGACACACGCACCTGACCCTCCCAATACCCTCGTGACGGATACCTGGAGTCGATCTGTGACGCGGTGTCCTGCGAAGACGGTGCCAAAGCCCCCCTTACCCAGGAGGGGGCCAAGTCGGTACTCGGCCTCGAACGCTTCCCGATCCTTGCCTCCTACGCAGGCGGAGGCAAGGAAGTCAGGGTGGCGGCGTGTTGAGCCCAGCCACGACTCCCTCCCCACCGCCCTGCAACCCATCATTCCAGCCCACCCCCGTCTGGTTGCAGTAGGGGTGGATGCGCTCACCTGGCGGCGGCGTGGGGGTCACGGGGGGCGCGGGGGGCCCCTGCAGAGGCTTGGTCAACATGGAGGATGCACCGCGCAGATTGAGCCCGCTGAACCCGCTAAGCCCGCAGGGCGTGGACGCCCGGGGCAGCGCAGCTGGGGAGCCAGGGCTGGGGGGCGCCAGGGTGGAAGACAGAGAAACTGGTGGCCCGGAAGCGCCCGCAGACGGCGCAGCGTTAAGATTCGCCGCACGCGCCAGCCCCAAAGCTACTGAGCCGGGGCACGCGCCTCCCGGGAGAGTCACCCTGGGCGACAGCCCCGCCCACCTGGCTTTGATCAATCCGGACGCGGCACCTGCTGTACCACAGCCAATCGGAGCCAGTTCTTATTTGCATACCACCCTCTCCGTTTCAAATGCTCCTTTATGCAAATACACGCTCGATTCTTCCGAGGAGGCGGGGCCTGCATGTAAATGAGGGGGCTCGAGGTGGGGCTCACACCAAGAGGAAACCGGTTCTGGGAATCCTCTCGCAGCAACCGCGCTTGTTTTGGTTGTTGCGCGGGGTTGTTGTTGGTAGTTGTGGTGATGTGTGTGTGTATTTACACTTAAAAAATAACTGCGCAGTATCCTTTCTTGGGAAGTTGGTTTGCCGCCGCTGCCTCGAAATTAGCACAGAGATACCGCCAGCCGGGCTTCTAAGAATTCGAGCCTGTGGCTATGCAGGACCCCGGCCCGAAAGGAGCTTGTCATCCTTCACCAAAGTCCTCCAGGAGACTGGTGGTCTTCACTGGAAAGCTGAAACCAGGGCCCTAGAAAAATCTGGTAGCCAGGGAGGGGGAACCCTCGCCATCACCGCCGCGGGTGCGCATTGGTCAAAGGCAACATTTCCCATGGCTTAAGGCTGCTGTCTGTGGATTGTTTATTGGAGTTTCTAACCCAGAGCCCTGAGCCCAGTCAGCAGGTCTAGAATCTAGAACAGCAGGGGGTGGTTCTTGGGGGATGGGGGTGAGCCCAGGGTGGTGGTGGCATTGGGCTGCACTTGGAGTTGAGAGAGGCAAGGACTGAGAGACATGATAGAGGCTGCTAGAGAAGTGGCAACTCTAGTACACAAATTTGTGAAAAACAGCCAGAGAAGGCGCCACACCTCAGGAAGAAAAATGCACTACCAAGACACATGAACGCCATGATATACACAAACACATACTGTCACATTCACGGAAACGACCTAGATACACATGCAGCCATGCACTATGATACAGAGACTGACAAAACACTTTCAGGCGCAGGCACATTGTTAGAAAAATAGTTACGTCCCAGAATGACACCCAGAGACACAGTTACAGAAAGGCACTCATGCAGACCTACATTGGCCATGTGATGACACAGAAATGTCCCCTCAAACACACTGACAGAACTTGTCACAAACACACTGGCACCATCAGACATGCACTGTCACAGCAAGACTTGTACTGTCCCAGAAATGAGACACAGAGTCTGTTACAGGAAGATACACAGATGCTCCCAAGACACACGTGCACTGCTCTGAAGGCAGACATGTACTAATGTGACAGAGCCACATTTTGTGGCAGTGTCACAAAAACAGGCATGGATAGACCTGTTCAGACATAGACACACATACACCATCACATGTGCAGCTTATCAATGGAACAGACTGTCCAGAAATAGCTATCCAGAATCTGTGGCAGGAACACAAACGGACATCTACCCCATCAGACAGAAACAACAGATGCACTGTCACAGACAGACCCACGCAGGCATGCACGCATCTTGGATTTAGACACAAACTCTCAGAGTCCCACACTCAGTCACCATCTGATACACCTGGAAACAAGCCCTCACCACACACAACTGGAGACACTCGGTGAACTGCACATGAAGACTTGGACTCGCCACAGTCACACACACAGACAACACTGAAAGAGCATGCATGTACTCTCCTTTGTTCACCCAACATTATTAGGGGTTTACTGTAAGCCTACCAATACTTTGTGGGGATGTTGATATTAGAGATACACAAATAAGTCAGGCATCAAACCTGTGCCATGAAGTTTATCTGTAGTAGTTACTGGGGAAATTTTTAGATAGAAGCGAGAATGTCCTGCCGGGCATGGTGGCTCATGCCTGTAATCCCAGCACTTTGGGAGGCTGAGGTGGGTGAAACACCTGAGATCAGGAGTTCGAGACTAGCCTGGCCAACATGGTGAAACCCCATCTCTACTAAAAATACAAAAAAAATAGCTTGAACCTGGGAGGAGGAAGTTGCAGTGAGCTGAGATCCACACCACTGCACTCCAGCTTGGGCAACAGAG